CACACACACACACACACACACACACACACACACACACACACACACACAAGATCAAATAACAACACACATTCAATTAAACACACACACAAAAAAAAAAGCTTCTCAAGCATAATCACAGGTCGAGACTCGACACCTCGACTCTCAGATTTGGCTGTTTTTCATCATTGATCCACAAAGTTTGTGAACCTCAGAGGGGATTTAAAACTGTTCAAACATTCGTCTGCTCATCACCATCTCTGGTGTTTATAAAATACTTTGTGTAAAATAACCACCTTGTTTTTTCTGTCTTCATTACCTCTGTGGGGGATTTGTAGCTGGTATTTCCAGGACCAGAGAAGTCCGCTCCTCGTCCAGAATCAGAGGAAAGCGATGAGTTTTTCTTCAGGATGGAATCTAGAAAAACAAACAAAAAAAAAGTATTTTAACTTCTTTATCCACCATTTCAGCTCCTTCTGTGGTTTTAACTTCTTCATACCGGAGTCTGATTGTTCTGGAGGAGATCCTGCTCCCGACAGCTGTCTCTCCCTCCAGGGAAGATGTCCAGATGTCTCTGAGTGGACCCGTCTCTCAGTTTCTTGTCCACTGCTGGACGCAGTCTGCAGAGTCCCGTCGGACGAGACAAAGGACTCCGACTCGTCCTGCAGATCCTGATCTGTGGTGTGAGAAGACTCCGACATGAAACCCTCCTGACCTGCAGAGAGGAGACAACCCGTCAGCCGTCCCCTCTGTGGTCCGAGGACAGATGGACGGACTGTTCTGAGGCGGATCAGACCTGCGACGTGGCTCATGTTGACGGGAGTCTCCACCTCCTGAATGGCACTCAGCTCATGTTGTTCAGTCATTTCTTTAAAGCCCAGTTTGACCCGGGTCACCGGGGGTTTTGGTGCTCGAGGATGAAAAAGTTCTGACGGGAGAACTGAAGACAGAGGAGGTCCAGCAGGACCGCTGCTCTGAGCTACAGGAGATAACAGGCAAACGTTTTCAATTTATAACTGAAGAAAACCATACATCGATGTGATAAAAGTGTTTTTGTTATACACTATTTATTCATTTAATTTAAAAACAAACAAATTCACATAAAAAAAAATACATATTAAATAAAAATTAAAGGTAGCAGCAAGAAAAAAATCTTATATCTGCTCC